TCGTTCCCTCTGTGGATTTGTACCCCGCTAACAAGCAATTCAGCGCGCTCGTGAGATCGCCCACAAGGCTCAGCAGAAGGGCATCACCATCATTGGCCCCGCCACTGTTGGTGGTATCAAGCCTGGCTGCTTCAAGATTGGTAACACTGGTGGCATGATGGACAACATTGTTGCCTCCAAGCTGTACCGCAAGGGTTCCGTTGGTTACGTCTCCAAGTCTGGTGGTATGTCCAACGAGCTCAACAACATTATCGCCAACAACACCGACGGTGTCTACGAGGGTGTGGCCATTGGTGGTGACAGATACCCCGGAACCACCTTCATCGACCACTTGCTCAGATACCAGGCCGATCCCGACTGCAAGATCCTCGTCTTGCTCGGTGAGGTTGGTGGTGTTGAGGAGTACAAGGTCATCAAGGCCGTTGAGGATGGTGTCATTACCAAGCCCATCGTTGCCTGGGCCATTGGTACCTGCGCCAGCATGTTCAAGACTGAGGTTCAGTTCGGTCACGCCGGTGCCTTCGCCAACTCCACCCTGGAGACGGCCAAGACCAAGAACGAGAAGATGAAGGAGGCTGGCTTCTACGTCCCTGAGACCTTCGAGGAGATGCCCCAGGTCCTCAAGGCTCTCTACGACTCCCTCGTCAAGAACGGCACCATCAAGCCCCAGCCTGAGCCCGTTGTTCCCAAGATCCCCATCGACTACTCCTGGGCCCAGGAGCTCGGTCTCATCCGTAAGCCCGCTGCCTTCATCTCCACCATTTCCGACGACCGTGGTCAGGAGCTCCTGTACGCTGGCATGCCCATCTCCGACGTTTTCAAGGAAGAAATTGGCATCGGTGGTGTCATGTCCCTTCTGTGGTTCCGTCGCCGCCTCCCCCCCTACGCCTCCAAGTTCCTCGAGATGGTTCTCATGCTTACTGCCGACCACGGCCCTGCCGTATCCGGTGCCATGAACACCATCATCACCACCCGTGCCGGCAAGGATCTCATCTCCTCCCTTGTCGCTGGTCTCCTGACCATCGGTTCCCGCTTCGGTGGTGCCCTTGACGGTGCCGCCGAGGAGTTCACCAAGGCCTTTGACAAGGGCCTGAGCCCCCGTGAGTTCGTCGACAACATGCGCAAGGCGAACAAGCTCATCCCCGGTATTGGTCACCGTGTCAAGTCCCGCAACAACCCCGACCTCCGTGTCGAGCTTGTCAAGGAGTACGTCAAGGCCAAGTTCCCCACCCACAAGCTTCTCGACTACGCCCTGGCTGTCGAGACCGTCACCACCTCCAAGAAGGACAACCTCATTCTCAACGTCGACGGCTGCATTGCTGTCTGCTTCGTTGACCTGATGCGCAACTGCGGTGCCTTCTCCTCCGAAGAGGCCGAGGACTACCTCAAGATGGGTGTCCTCAACGGTCTGTTCGTTCTCGGCCGTTCCATCGGTCTTATTGCCCACTACCTCGACCAGAAGAGACTTCGCACTGGTCTGTACCGTCACCCGTGGGACGACATTACCTACATCCTTCCTCAGCTCGGCGGCGGCGGCGCACCAGGCGCCGAGGGCAGAGTGGAGGTGCAGATGTAAGGGTTTAACGGTTAGCGGCGGAAGGTTACGGTTTGCCACGGGATGTGGCTATAGAAATGGAGTCTATGATTTTAACGTCATGCGAGGGATGATGGTGTGCTAAATGGCGTCTTGTACGACAAGCTATATACGTGTAGTGCTGCGCAGTCCCCCCGGGATATACTAATGGTTTTGCCCGATTATCTTTTGAAGGATTGCCTTTGACGTGACATGAACAGTGACTACTTACATGCCTTGTTGATCAAGACGTCGGGTACTTCCGAGACACTAAGGTCGCGCTTGTGCCCCAGCGGCGGCGACGGCAATCACTTCAGGGATTGGATGGTGGGCCGACATCAGTTCGGATGGAGCCCTGGGATAAGCTTAAATTGAACATGTCGAACTGGTTGGGTCGTCCGGACCGCGCTGGTGACCCGGCCCGGATAGGTGTCTGGTTCAGACTTATCATGCACGTCTTAAGCCGCGTGGGAAGTGGCCGCTTTCGTCGGTAACCGATGTTTCGAATTGTTGTTACCTTGAGAAACTACAGTGGCCTTCTACTGGTATATTGGTTTGAATTACGAGTTGCCGAGTAGACATCGGGAGCTAGAAAGTGCTGGAATATCTGGTTCTGTCTTGGCACAGTCATCCCAAACCTTGTGTGTGTTGGGTGCTTTAGATTAAGGGCGCTTGGGTGTGCTCTTGTGAGGTATGCTTTTGGCTGGTCCATTGCGAGAGAGGGGTAGGTTCCTATACGAATCTCGGGGGTTGAAGGGACTTGGTGGTCTATCTATCATATTGTCGTGGTTCTACTTCGTGGTCGTTTTAAAGTTCTTCGAAAATATCTGACCTTGACAAGTTGGACTTGTTGGTATCTACACTCCATCATGAGTTCCAAAATAACGACTTTGGCGCCTGGTCTCACAAGAGAGAATGAGCTCATGCAAAAAATAAACTTGACGCCAAGAATACTTCGTGAGAGAGTATCCCTCGTGTTTACACTGTATGCCTAATTGAAGGACCGTACAGGTTCTACAATTCCCTGGGTTGGACCATCCGCAGCAGACTGACAAGGCCAGTCCAGAAGCCGGCTGGGCCTTGTCGATGACACACATCAATGTTCCGTGGCCTTTGTGAATTGGCCAATGATGGCGAGTGTATCGAACGCAGGGGTGTCAGTGTGCGATATTCCAAAACGAGCGTCGTCACTGCGATTTTACCTCCCTGCAAGACGATGATGAATTTGAAAGCCGAGGTTGAGCTAGCCGTCAGGTTTTCCCTATCATACTGCCTAGGGCCAATGATGGCGAGCATAGTGCAGGTGAGTATGTAATTCAAGCCACCGAGTTTTGAATAGTGCTTATAGTTCTCACAGCGATCTAAACTCCCTTCAAAGCGATGGATGCAGGCGGATGCTAAGACAATATCCAGTCTCTCGATCATGCTAGGCCGATGAAGGCAAAGGCAGTGTTGGGGCGAGATACTCAGGCGAACACACATAGGCGAACCACCATAGGCAACTGTTGGCCACTTCACAGCAATATTAGCCCCCCTCTAAGGGAAGAATCGAAAGCCAGCGGACTGGAACCAACGTCACGTTCCCGGAACATTTCCTCCTCCCGAAAGGAATAGTTATGATAAATAGACAGGGATACCAGCCTTCACTGCAATCTTAACCCCCTCTGAGGTGATGCACAAGTATAGGCTCGGCCAACTTCAACTTCAAGCATACCAGGTCAGTGACGGCGACACGTTAAGTATGTGAGCTACTACGGTGAGCTTCTTTGATGTATTCCAAATCGAAGGCGTGATCACTTCATAGCAATACGTGAATTACTACTCTGTGCGGAGAATTTGTTGGTGTGTCCCAAAGCGAAGGCGTCACCGCTTCACAGCAATATCAAGTCCTTCCGAGGGAAGAACCGCAAACTAGCGGACTGGATACAGCTTGCGCCGCTCACCTACATTTCCCAGCCCGAAAAGGATACTTATCGTGGGAGCAGTCGGACAGCCCAATGGGCCTAACGACTTCACTGCGATTTTAACTCCTCCCGAGGGGAATACTTACACTAGATAGACAACAAGTGGAGACCACTTCAAGTTGACCGTGACTGCGCCTCGGCAACTTCCGCCCGTGACTGACGCACGGTCCATCGAAATTCCAACGCCCAGCTTGACGATTTTTGGATACCTCGATCGCATCGCTAGGAAGGCTATCGAGTATCGGGTCGGTTCCCTGAAATTCCACGACATCGCGACGGAAAGACTGCTCTAGCAGAGGCTCAATTGTACGGTACACCTCGGCTTATCAAGCGTGCGTTAAGAGCTGTACGAATAGGCGCTAACATCAATTCCTCAACAGAAACAAGCCGTCGCCCCATCCCTAATCGAACGAGCAACGAGCACACGACAAACCCACGTCGCAAGCACCTCGACGACGAAGCCAAGCCCCTACCTTCGCGCCCATCACCGCCTACCTTGATCAAAAAAACCATCGCCAGCCCATCATGACTTTCTTCCGCATCACCCTCCACCGCTCCGCCATCGGCTTGCCAAAAAGCACCCGCGGCGTCCTCGAGGCCCTCGGCCTCCGCCGCCGCTCCCAGACCGTCTTCCACCCCGTCAGCCCCCAGTTCGCCGGTATGATTATAAAGGTGAAGGAGCTCGTCAAGGTTCAGGAGGTCGACCGCGCCATGACCCAGCCCGAGATGCGCGACCTGCGGAGGCCGGACCCGGGCTTCTATGTCGAGAAGGCTGTTGCGCGATGAAGGTGCTGGAGGAAGATGAAGCGAGAAATAGATCGGTGTTCTGGATGATTTTTCAAAGTCAAAAGAAGGAAGAGGACGACGAGAGGAGAAGTGGAGGTTGAGTCTTGGAGCATGAGAGGGCCGGCTAGTGGCAGCTCGGGCGTAGTAGAGGTCAAAATCGTGTACCATCACCACGGAGAAAACTGTACAAAATCATGGCGGACTGTACAACAAACATACGTAGACGAGGATGTCTGCATCAAGTTACTGGGAATGAAACAAAAGTTCACTCAAGACCAGATACTGGTGATTCGAGCTCGTCTATTTCATTGGCACATGAAGAGCTTGTCACGCTGATAACGACCTGTCTGAGTGCTGAGGCACAGCATGGTCCATGTTCTTCTGCTTGCCTCACAAGACACAAGGGTTCTAGGAAAGGATGGCTTTGCGAATGGAAAACAATGATTACTATCTGTCTCAACTCTTATATTGGTTGAGTATGCCTGATACTAGCAGGCGACACAAAAGATGTTGGATGTCCGTTTTCCACACCTCCAACTAAACCCCTCATCAAGCCTGCATGACCAGGTGCTGGGATTCCAATAACGCAAAAAAGAAAAGTCAAGATGAAACGTCAAACTGTCTGCCGTTTAGTCGGCTAACCATTTGACTCAGGATGCAAGATGAGGTCTGGCCGCCTAGAAGCTCCGAGCCTTATCGATATACTCCTGAGAAGGGGTCTCATATTCGCTGACAAAGTAGTTCTTTGCGTTCTTGCCGAGCCAGACGGTGAGCTTGGAGAGTTCCTCACGCAGACGCGCCACGGATTGCTGGTCCATGTTTGTCTGAGCGACGAGCTCGGGAAGAGACACTGTCTTGAATTAGCACTAAGCCAGACTAGGCGTCTCGAATGGACTTACCCATCAGGCGGCACAAGTGTTCAGGTCCATAGGTATCGCAGACAGACTTGTGCTTGTCTTCCTCGCCAGCCTTCTCCCACACCTTGCGAATCTCATGGTACTGGGGACGCTCAAAGCTATGGGGAGATCAGTAGAGTTCGAGATACCAAGTCCAAGCAGAAAACTTACCGGTACAGTAAGATACGGCTCAAAGACTTCTCAAAGTACTCGCGAAGTCCTGCAACGACTTCTTCAAGAATGTCCATGTTTGCAGAACCATCTTCCCTGTTCGGGCGCTCGTAGTTGAGGTAGTCGCTCAGAATATCGTCAACGGGGTGAGGGTGAGGAAGCGGGACCAGCTGGTTGTTCTTGGTGATGTTCTCCCAGTCGTCAACAAGCATCGCCTTGATGTGGTCAGGGATAGGAAGCTTAATGGATGGGCGTGCATGAAATCCATCCTCCTGGTGTGTGATATTAGTATTTGTGCCGACTGGTAGACTTAATGCAATAGAATAAGAAAAAAGGAAAAACAGAAAAGTCTCAAGGCCACTGGGCTGTCGAACTGATAATGGTTTCTCTCGATGGTAGTTCACCTCAATACGTGCGGAAGCTTCCCACTAAGGTAAGCACTGCGTTTGTGTAAACTCACAGTCGGAAGTTCTTCCTCGCTCGTTTCCGGAGAGCGAGCAGATGACGACTTCGTCCGGGCAGGCTGTTCTCGCTTGAGAGTTGTAACGCTCGTATCGTAGCGATTGTCGTAGTTGGGCTTGCCGTCTTTTGTGACATAGGGTCTGGCGCGGGGAGCAGGCGAGAGGGCCAGGTTATCCACCCTCAGTAAGCGCGGCTCCTTCCAAATCGCCGCTTGATCATGATGAGGTCGCCGACGCAATGATTCGGCAGGCCGAGATTTGCGAGACGCGAAAGCCATGATGAATGAGAAGAGTGTGGGAAGAGTCAGTGTAGCGTTTGACGAGTAGAGTGCAGTGGTTCTGTGAGCAAGAAAGCTGAGAAAGAGGAGCTGGTGTATGGGGATGGTTCGAGAACGAAAGGGCGGAAATCCGGTGATAGAAGATCGGAGACTCTTCTTTTTGCTGCGGGAAGGAGTAGTCGGGGATCGCTCCTGCCAGACAGGCGGAACCAGCAGCACGTTTCTGATGCTGGTGTGTTGGGCCAACCACGGCCTACTGCAGCCTGCGTCGAACATTACGGCGGAACCCGAAGAGTTCTTCCACACTGCTCTCACGCTTTCTCTTGTTTGTGCCGCAGGGCCTCTGCAAAAGCTCTTCGACGACATCCTTGGCATCTTGCGACTCGCTATCTTGGAAGCTTCGTAGATCATGCTGGTTCTCGATGTAGGCATTCGCGGGACGCTCCCCAAGGAATTCTATACTGGAGTTGCTGGTTATGCTGGTCCCGTCGTCGTGGTCGTCGCTGCCAACGCTCTCATCGCTGGAAATGCTGATCAGGTCGATGATTTCGGCAGGGTCCTCGTCGCCATCGGACTCTGAGGCTCGCCCGACTGTCTGATCCTCGTCTTCCTCATCTTCGTCGTCGGCTTGGTAGAACTCGTCTTCATTTTCCTCGTACACGGGTGAAGCCCAGTGAACCTTCTTGCGTGGGCGAAAAGATGCCTTGTCGTAGCCCTCGAAGTCATCATCGTTAGACATGTACTTCCGACGTCTGCTGGGTAGGGACGTGTCATCTTCTTCGCCAGATTCGAGTCGCTGTCGGAACAGGTTATTCCGATACTGCCTCTCGCTCAGAGTATCGTCGTAGTCCCTAAAACCTTCATCTCCCTCAAAGTCGAATCGGTTCATGCCCATCTCCTCTTCGTCGACTTCGTCGTCTTCCTCCTCATAGTTGAATCGGTTCTGGTTGATGCCCGCCCCCTCTTCGTCGTACTCGTCATACTCCTCCCTAGAGTAGTATCGGGGCAGATAAGAGTCGTCATTCCCGTCCTCGTCCTCGTCCGAATACATTCGACGCCTTTTGTGACGCTGTTCGAACGCCTCGTCTTCCTCATCGTCATCGTCATCTAGCTCCAGCTGACGTCTTTTGCGTTGCTGATAGCGCTGATTTGGGCGATGATTGATCACGTCGGCGTCGGCATACAGATAATCGTCTGAGGCCGGAGCCGGTCTTTCGTAATTTTCATAGTCGAAGTCACTGGCGTAATCGCTCTTGATCTCGATGTCTTCGCCTTGAGATGCTTCGACATCTTGTCGATATTCGGGTTCGTTGGCATCTTCTGCCCAACCGACAGGGTTATTGTGACGGTAATGGGCAAGTTGACGGGCGTACTTTAGACGAGACATGAATCCGCGTTGGGGTGGAGAGGCGTAATTGGGTTGAACGCCGGAGTACTGCGCAGCCTGCTGCGACAGAACCCAGTCGTACACCCGAGCAAAACGATCCCAAGCCGGGGAGCTCATCTTGTAGCTTGGGTAGGGTAATGATGATAGTTGAGGAAGTTTGTGATCGTGTATCCTGAAATTCCCGAGGCAAGACACAAGACGTTGTGTTGAGTATGAATGCGATGCATGCGAGAAGGGGGAGTTTTCGGGGAAAGGATAGCAAATCGAACCGGCGATTCGTGAGGAGAAGAGTGGATAGTGAGAGGAATGTGAGGAATCGGTGGAAGGTGTGGTGTTGAAGAAAGGTTTGACCAGCGAAGACTTTTCCGGGCAGGAAGGTGGAAATTGCTTTGCGGCAGGTGCCTCGATGGACGCCGATTCACACAACGCTCCTTCCTTCGATCAGATAGATTACTAGCCGCCCGGCAGTGAGGAGGCCGGGAAGTATTTGGTGACCAGCTTTGCTGATGGCCCCACATAGATGAGGGCATTCACCCCCTATCGTTGCCTTCCTCCTTCGCGTCTTTCGGACTTTGTTTCAAGCTCACTTCACAATGAGCGTCTACTTGGAGACCAACATAATGGCATATCGAGAGAAACCAAAAATTGAAACAAACGCAGAACAGAAAGCAAGACACAAACAAACTCGGTTTTGGCACTCACCTGCTCGAGGTCAAAATCTCTCGCCCGGCGAGGGCCACGGCCAGTGGCAGCGACACCTGCAGTTCGCTCCTCACTACCGCGAGCTGAGTCGGTCCCATTGACACGAAGATTGCCCTTCTTGGGGGGTTTGGCGCTGCTCTTCTGGCGTAGGTCCTTCATCTGGGCATGCAGCTGGCTGGCAAGCTCCTTATTCTCCTCTGTGAACTTGCGAATGCGGTCGATGGAAACCCAGTCGTCCCAAGTGTTCTTCCAACCCTTGTAGTGAATGCGATACTGAAAGCCTTCGCCACTCTCGGCAGGCTGGATGTCGAGGATCTTGGCCTCATATAGCATCTCACCATGGAAACAGAGAACCTTCTCATCCTTGGAGAAGGGCTGGGGCGGTTGGCGTGCGGGTGCCATGATTGGATGAGGCGGCCGTAGGTTGGCGAATCTACTCGGTGGGCTACAGCAAAGAGTATCGACAGCAGGGTTCTGACGATAACCTGGATGTCGTTGAAGGGTTGATGGGCCAAAGGGGCAGTGAGGTTAAATTCTCGGACAGTGCGCTGAAGATTGAGACACAGTCACTTTCAAGGCCAGTTGGCGCAGATCGAGGCTGCTGGCACAGTATGAATCGGGACCAGTCGTGGCACCTCGCTCAATCCGGATGACAGTGTTGATCAAGTCGCTAACACGGTATCAAGCTGGAGGACTGGTTAGTTTCTAGCCAAAAATTAACAACGAGTATGAAAAAAGTTGGATTTGAATCTTACTGCAGGTCGTTTGATAACTCAAGGTCAACTTTCCCAGTGTTGCTTTCGTTGTGGGTAGAGCCGTCTCCGTGAAGTGCAACCGTGATGGATAAGGTGAAGATGGCAAGGTGTGTCGATTCTTCCTACGGAGTGAAACGCGCTGCGGCTCATTAACGCGTCCCGCAAGAACTACCGCGTCTTCCATGCCTGCCCCAAGCCAAGCGCCACCCCATCCCGCCTGCCATGTCTACCCTACCTTAGGTACTGTCTACTACCCAACTTTTCCTCACAGGCTCACATATCTGACTTTCCATCTATGCTTACCCCCCTCCCCTGCTTTTTTGTCAGAGACTACGGGTACTTTCTGTCAGATATCCATATATCTTATCGTCGAGGGCTGCTGCGACTTCCATTGAACGGCCACTTGCTAGACTCATTATCTTCCAAGCAGCTCATCTCACAAGCGCAACCCATCATGGCGCCCACCGAAGCCGCCATCCTGCACAACTACCTGACTGTCCCGGCGCAGCTGCCCTCAGCCATAACCCTCGAAGAGTTCACCGAGCTTTTCCCTAAACCGCACCGCGCAAACCCGCAAATCCGCTCCTTGTACCGTGATCTGCAACATCAAAGGAGGGCGCTCGTTGACACGATCACGGAAAACATTGAGAATGAGGAGAAGAACGGGAGGGTCATCAAGCGCGAGATTGCGCGTGCCCAGAAACGTGCGAAAGCCGAGGATGCCGATCAGGAGCTTGAGATTGAGAGAGCGGTACGTTTTTGTGATTATGCTGCATATCATCATGATAGACCGGAGTCTCTAACAAGAAGGTAAAGCTATTTGGCGTGGCTGGGGCGCAAGATCCCAAACACACAATCAACTCTATTGTTCCAGAGATGGACACGGCGATAGCGGACCTCGAAGCAGAGATTCAGGAGCTAGAGGCTCAAGAAGCAAAACTCATGGAGTCGGTCAAACAGACAGTCGGCAGCATGAGCGATCTCCGCTACGGACGCCTCGCTAACCCCAAGCTCGGAGAGGACGTCATTCAAGGTCTCAAGAGTGTGCAAGATGCATGCGACGGGAAAAGTTGATCAACTAAAGATTACTAATTCGGTCCTATCTAAATCCAAATGACCGGGGATCTCAGTTGCATCATTGCAACGGCCCGCGGATTTACCTGGATATCCAAACCCATGCCAATGTGCCCTCCAGCCTCTCTTCAACTGCCTATCCAAAAGCTACTCACCCCCTTTACCGCGCAACACCACCAGCAGGGGCGGCAGCAGCGGGAGGAGCACCACCGGCAGCGGCAGCGGCGCGGTTGTCAAAGGTGTTACCCATACGGCGGTTCATCAGGGTACGGCTGCCAAAGGAGACGAGGATCATGAAGAGCCAGTTAGGGACCAGGTTGAAGGCCCAGAAGACGTAGCCAACGGGGACAGACAGGTTGTTCTTAGCGATCCAGCTGTTGAAGGGGTGGAAAATGTTATCCGTCAGGACCCACTCCTCCTTGGACTGCGCCTTCCACAGGTCGACAATGTCGTCCGAGGTAGTGGTGGTGATGTTCAAGCGCTTCCTGTAGACATCGACGTCGGCTCCAGGGGGCAACAGACCGATGGACCAGATGGACGCGGTTCCGGCAGACCACGCGTTGCAGAGGACGGGCTGGTCATCGCAGTCAAGGAGACCCAAGTGAGGGGATTCGGGAAGCTTGGCGAACTTGATGGTAGACTCGTTAAAGGCAGTCTCGATCTTATCGCAGTGGCCTGTAGATAAGAATTAGCATATCTCGTAGATGGAGCAAATGTGACGCGCGGTTGCGGAGCGTACCGAAGCAGGTCTTGTTACGACCAGTGATCAGAACCCACCACTCCTCAGGGGTAGTGGCATCAGCCTTGACGGGCTCGTAGAGAACATCCTTCCAGTTCTCGACGGTCAAGACGGAGATCTTCTTATCGACGGCCGTCGCATCAGGCACGGCGGCCTCGGGGGTGGCAGCCTTCTCAGCGCTGGGCGCGGAGGCGCCAAAGGAGCTCAGGAAGTTCTGGAACTGCGCCTTGTACTGCTCAAAAGGCGACTCGGCCGCTGTCGCAAGCAGCGGGAGCGCGAGAAGGGTGGTGGCGGACACGCGCATATTGATGATGGCTGTGTATATGTGTGTGTGTGTGATGGGAAAGTCGCTTCGCGTAGAGAGAAAGGAGGTAGCTTGGATGTCGTGATCAAGCGGCCAAGAGATGGTGGGTGAGGGGAAGCGTAATTACAGCGAGCAGGGCAAGGAGGGAGGAAATGCCGACAACTACAACAAGGGACCAAGGAGGGACGATAAGTACGGGTTGGCGAGGGTAAAGTATACAGGCAACCTGATTCCGGCGCGAAGTTTGGACACACGAAAAAAAGGACACAGAGTTCGGATGTGAGGAAAAAAAGTGGAAGAGGAGCCTGAGTACGGATACTGACACGGGTGCGAAATCAGGCAGTTTGGAAAGGGACCCTTTTGGGACTCGGGGAGAGCGTGTGGCTTCTCCTGAACCTTGTCCCGTTGGTGATCCGGCTGGAACAAAGGAGCTTTGGTCGCCTGGGGGATCCAGAAGAGCACTGAAACCCGCCCGCTGCCAGAAGCTCGGAAGCACGCACCATAGAACGAGGAAGAGGTTCTTCCTCCACACTGTCTAGCCGTAATGGGACTGGCGCTTGCTGCTGGTCAGCGTCATTTCGGGTCGCCCAGGTGGAACGGCGGTCCGGGGTACTCGCAGCAGCCACGATTGGATGTCTCGCGTCCATCAGCCACATGAGGCTGGAGAAGCCGGTACGTACTGGCAATATGGAGGGGACCTGGCTGGACGCGTCGAGAGCTCACATGCTGAAGAGCACCAAACTGACTGGAAGCTCAAATGCGCTTCGAGGCAGCATCCACTCTTGCGACATAACATTGTGAGCGCAAAACATCACAATGGTAAGCCTTTCAATCCTGATTCTTGCTGACTCTAGCTGATACAATAGTAGCCCCCAAAAGCCGCAGACCAGAAGCGAAAACGAGGTCGCCCCTCAAACGCGTCTAAATCGGCCGACGCGTCGCCAGCTTCTCCCGAAGCTGTAGAAACGGAAGAAGCAACGGCACCAGCGAAACGCGGTCGACCAAACAAACGAAAGGATGCTGAAGTGTCGTCTCCTGCTGAGGTATCGAAAACCAAAAAGAGGGGCAGACCACCCCGCGAAGCAGCGGTAGAAGCAGAAGTTGAAGAAGCGAATGAAGAGGAACCCGAACCGGCGCAAGCGAAACCAAAATCGAAGAAGGCCAACAAGAGCGATTCAAAGGATAGCGAGGAAGCGGCAGACGCAGATGGGTTAACGAGCCGAGGAGAGAAAGCCGCCTCACGAGGTAAAGCAGGCCGAAAGCCAAGAAAGGAGGCGAACGAGGAGGCCCAGGACGCAGACGAGGCCGACACAAGCAATGCGGCCAAGAAGAAGCGTGGACGGCAGCCGGCAAAAAATACGGAGGAGGAGTCCGGGGAGGCTGTATCTCCAGAACCAGCACCCAAGAAGAAGCGCGGGCGACCGTCTCTAGATAAGAAACCAGCGACCGAAGAACCATCACAAGCCGCCGAGGAGGACGTCGTGCCCAAGAAACGGGGAAGAAAGCCCAAGGAAAAGGCTCCCGAGGTCGAAGAGCCTGCGCCTGAAGAGGAAGTGGAGGCTGAGGCTCCTCCTAAGAAGAAGCGCGGACGCAAAGCAAATGTAACAGTAGAGGAGGTGGAGGAGCCACCAGCTGAAGAGGAACCGATGGCTATAAAAAAGAGACGCGGTCGCCCTGCAGCGCAAGCCGAATCAGAAGCGCAGGAGGCGTCACAGTCGGAGCCGAAAGAAGGCCAGAGGCGGAAGGGGAAGCAGCCCCAACCAGCAGAGGAGATTACAGCCGAAAAGCCTAACAAGAAGCTGCGGAAGAAAGGTGAGGAGGAGGAAGAAGCGTCACCAGATACCCAACGTCGCCGGCCTGGCCGTCCTCGAACTTCAGATGCAGCATCCACACCGGATCAAACCTCGCAAGTGCGCAAATCCAAGAAACGTACAACGGAAGATGATGCAGCAGAAGCATCAGCGCCCGCAAAGAAACGCCGTCGTCGCACGTCCGACGAAATCCAAAAAGAAAAACAGCAACAGAAGCAGCAACAGCAACAGCAGCAACAGCAACAGCAGCAACCCAAACCCGAAGCGCCGAAAACGGTTCGACGAGCCCCCAAACACCGTCACATCGCCGCCCGCGTCCGCCAGGTCCCCCGCTCCATAATAGAAGAGAAATGGTCCCCGCTCACGAACCCCTCCCTCTCCATCGTCTCCAACCTCCTCCGCCTCGCCGAGCGCCCCGTCCTCCAGCGCATCCCAGGCAGCGAGAAGCGCCGCGACCAGGCCGCCTCCGCCCTTCACCTCATCACAAACCGCCTCGTCAAGAAGCTCTCCCGCGGCCTGCCCTTCCCGCCGGCCTCGGCGCCACCCACGGGAGGTAAGAACGGTAGCAGGAAGCTGCTCGACACGGACAGCGGACGTGTCGATGAGCTCAACTTTGAGCGCGTCATCGAGGGCGTTGCGACGCTCGAGAGGCAGCTCGATCCCCTCCTCCACGCAGTCGACCTCCTTAAGACCGAAAAGGAGCGCGAGGAAAAGGCTCTGGAGGAAGACTACGATACCCTCCACACCCTCGAGGCGAACGCGCGCTCCGAGGCACGCAACTTCAAGGATAGTCTCCGCAAGACGCACGTCCTTTTGCCGGAGGCCACGAAGCCCAGCACTGCTTCCGCAGCCGTTGCTGCCGAGACCGCCGTCAAGCACGACGAGCCAGACTTCAACTTCATCGTCTCCAAAGAGGGCGTCGGAAACGGCACGCCGTTATTCAAGGACCTCGAGGACGACGAACTGCGCGGTCTGGCGGCGCAGGTCGGCAGCCACATGGAGAGCATGCGGGCCAACCTGCAGCAGATTGACGGCGTCGTGCCGCAGATCGTCAAGAGCAGGGCCGCGCTGCAGGACGTGCTGTTCAAGCACTTGGATCAGCAGAGTTTCGAAAATGTCTTGTTTGGATGAGAAAACAACATGCAGACATATTGCGGATTTCGTGTTGTGCCGTTCAAGGATATTCGGGGGAACTTGGGAAAGCCATTGGGAATTCAGGACGGACTTGGTGTTGGGCTGGTTTTTACATCGCGGGATATTGATACTTGACATTGACTACGGAGGCGTTGGCTGGCTGTCTTAGGGATACCACGCAATTGATGATTCATGACCTTCAGTGCCTGCCATTGACAAGACCAAACAGATAATCGTGATGTGCTACACCATAATATCACCATGTGGCTTCAATTGAAGTCCCACCGGCTCATTGAACACCTTTGGCACGAAGTGGACATTTAGTCATTAACCCCTCACCAGAACCAGTGTCACCGCAGCATTCAGGCCATTTCTAAGACATTGCCTTGGAAACCTTTTGCCTATGAAGAACTATACACTTGGGGAAATTCAAACCTCGACCCCATTCTATACCATACAAAAAGCTGGTCTCGTAGCCTATCTGAATGCTCTCGCCGAGACTTTCTTCAAGCCGCAAAACCACCGCCTTTATTCATAACATTCCTTGCTCTTCCTGAGCGTCATCATAGTGTGTCAAATTCTGTCAAGGTGCCGTACTCCATCCTTCTTCGCCACGGAATCATACCGCACTGTTGTCGATGACCAGACCTCGCCACTTCAGCAACGGTCATGATCGTGTTGCGAGAATTAAGTATCGATCCGCTGATCATCACCTGAGAATCAGAGTTAGCTTCAATGTGAAATCGTAAACCAAGGCAGTCTCAACTTGTGAAGCGTCAAGACTCCACGGCTGTGTAGGGTAAGATCGAAAAGCTCACCTGCGTCATTCTCATCAAGAGCTGTGGTGTAAGACAGACGACTGGCCGGGGTAGCCCATTTCTCAGTCGTGGCAGTGGTGGAATCTCCCGCAGGAAGCATATTAATGTTGGCCGGTGTAACGGGCCGGATAGTCGGTGCTTCAGTACCACTCTTGTGAGCGTTCTTGCTCTCCAGAGCAACATCATTATGGACGGTGTTAGTGGTATCATTAGCAGATTCGTGTCTCGCGTGCTCGGCTTCGTGGAGCCGCGCAGGCAGAGTGTCCAGGGAGGACGCTGGCTGGTCCTCCAACTCAGCAATAGCAAGAGCTGGATTGGTGGCCATCTTGGCATGCTCACTGCCCTTCAAGGTTTCAATGCTCCTTTGGAGCGCTTCCAGGTCTTTGTAGCCTTCCTTGGTGGGCAGGATTTCGAGCTCAGGGTATTCGAGTTGACCAGGTGACTTGGCACCGGGCTTGGACGGCAACATTTTTCCCAAGCTGGTCTTCATGGCCTTCCCAAGCTTCTTCGACATGGACTGAGAAGACTTCTTGATCTCGACGACGTTAGGCATAGAAGTTTTGCCGGCGAGCTCAACATACGGCGCTGTCTCCGTGCCAGGGACTGCCGCAAAATCCTTCGGCGTCATATTGTCATCAGGGCCCGCAGTACTAGTTCTCTTGGCCCTATCATGGGATGGCCACTTGGCCCAAGAAGAAGGGGGTGTAGCAACCGTCTGGAAGCCCAAATTCTATTTGGTGCCTGTGACATCTTGGTTGTTCTCCGACTTCTTGGGAATAATGGTGCCAGAGAAAGACTGCCGAGAAGTGCTTGACTGGCTGGCGTTTCGTGTTGCGATGGAATCCTCCGCTTTGGCTTCTTCGTAGCGAGATCCGGCTACATCTCGCTCTGTAGGGTGAGAAAGCTGGTTGGCATCGACTGAGATCATTCCCATGCTGGCCTTAGCCATAGCAGACTTCTTGGAATTTGTAGTGGACTCGGTCTCGCGCTGGTCGTGCTCAACTTTGAAAGCTCGCTGCCAGACCACGGTGGCGCTTTCAGTGAGCTTGGGTGCAGTGAATGCGGCGTCGCTCGGGATATGCCGGGTCGAAGAAGTGATGCTGTGGCTCGACAGTCCTTCAGTGTTCTCCCGTAGCTTGAGCATCTGGTTCGCTACCGAGCTCAACTGTGCGGGCTCCGTGGAGGACTGACTATGCGACTGCTTTCGACCCTTGGTACTCGAGCTTCTACGGATGCCCAGGAATTGAAGGAATGAGAACTTCCGCGACGGTGCATAGCCGTCGTTAGGCATGTCGATCTGGGATTCACCAGACATTCCTTCAAGACCACCGAGTGGACCAAGCTTCTGGTTGTCCAGGGCAGAGACGTTCTGGGCGGTACCGTAGTTGGGATGGTTCTCAGTCTGGAAGCGAATTCCATCTGCGCCAGACCCTTCATGACTTGATTGGATGATAGGAGGTACAGCCGTGTCAGAGTCGGGGTCCTTGTCTAGGGCGGTACGATAACTCTCGTCAGAACGCTGCTCCTTAAGGTTATACACTGTTGCTTGGTTAGTCGGGATACTAGCTTTCGCGATTGATATAAACCTACAGTCGAAGCTGGCGAGATCGAGATCAATAAGACTCTCAGCAATGCTGTTGCGATCGTCGTCACCACTGACATCCTTGAAGCCTGATGGCGAGGCGTTGCGTGTGTTCTGCATGGACGAGTATACCGAAGATGACGGATAGTGCGACGGCTCGTTCACTGGCAAGGGCGTTCTACCGACCAAAGCACTATTCACCTCCAAGTCGTCTTTCGAAGGCAAGTCAACGTACGGCTTGTGACCAGAAACCTTTCGGAGGGGAAAGCCGACAGGGCTCGAGAGTTGACGGTTTTTTCCTTTCTCGTCGCCAGCTTCGGTAGCAGAGCTGCGACTAGGCACTGCAGTTGCAGACTTTACCTTGCCATTCAAACTCTGAGCTGTGATGGAATCCTCCCGAGACGTGAGCTTCTCGGCGAGCAGCCAGGTCTCCCAGCCACTGCCATCCTGGGATTGTCCAGATTCCGAAGTGCGGGGAGGCAGAGATGTGCCGACGGACTCGGCTGTGAGCTTTCCGTTGGACTTCTCCGCGTCACAAAGAGTTGCGCTGTTGCTGGAAGTATCATCTTGAGACTGGGCCTCGAAGGCCTCTTTGTCGTCAACGGCAGCTGTGCTCTCGTCGTCCAGTGGGAGGGGGATGTCCTGAGGTTGAAGACAAAGGGCCGCCTGACTTTCGCCTTGGGGGATACACTGGGAGAGTCTCCAAGTTCTGAAAGACTCATCATCCTGATCGGCGCGACTCTGGCGAGCAGGGAGGACTGGAGCCGGGGGAGGCATATCAGGCAGTGATCCTCGCTCTCGAAGAACAAGATTTGTTGCCGTGACCTTCGTGGAGCTATCAGGCTTTGGGCAGCTGCTGCGTCGGCGGTCTCCAGTGGTGATATCGATAGGATGGACCTTAACACCTTCGTTCGAAAGCTTGGCAGCAGGCGGCGGCTGCGGCAGAGACGTGATATCAACCACAGAAACATCGGTGGGAATCTCCACCTCTATTCCGCTCCGCGGTCGCGGTCCGCTCTGACGCTCGCTTTGCTGGTCACCAGGAACCTCCACTACTGTCTCCAGCCCACGGAATCTCTTACTTCCAGGCGTGACAGATCGCGAACTGTGCTCACTCTCGAGGTCGGCTTGAATGCGCCTCATGTTGTTCTGTCTCACAGAGTAAGTATAAGCAGCCTGGTCGTACTGCGGGGGGCCATTTATCTCTGTAGCAGCGGAATTGGAAGAGGGCCTCTGAATGCTGATAATCGACACCCGCTTGTCACTGTCGGGACTATCAGACCGCTTGTTGCTGTTGTTAGAGCGGCGTCGGCTGAGTCTGCTCCAGGGACCATTCCTTCTGGGCGCTTCGATTTGATCCTCGTGGTCCGACACATATTCGACCTCGGTGGGATCAGGAATGAAATCCAGTTCAGGAGAGCGCACGTATGAGCGGCGAGAGGACGCAAGAGAGCCTCCTGTGTTGGTCCCACTGAGCATGAGTTCCATATTGTAGTTGCTTCCGGGCAGCTTGGCCGGAGGAGGCAGCTTGATCAGCTCGACAAGGGGCTGCTTCGGAACCTGGGCCGGAATTTTCTCCTTCGTGATCGTGTTCTTGGATTTCGCATCATTCGATTTCGCGTTCTTCGCCTTCCTGTCCTTCGACTTCGTGCTCTTCAACTTCGTGCTCTTCAACTTCGTGCTCTCATACTGCGTGTCCTTTGGAGGTATCTCGGGAGGATCCGCCTCCTTTGCCTTTGCGTCTTCATCCTCGCCCTGTTTCTTGGAGGGAATGCCGATGCAGCAGACGCGCATCATCTTGATAAGTTTCCACTGTGGATGCTCGATTTTCTCTGTGTTTGCTTTGGTCTCCAAACGAGCGAAGAGGTGGTGATAGTCGGATGGCTGGCGAAAAATACTCGGTACCAATCCAAGAAACTGCTCGACCTGCCCAAGAGGAGAATGATGCAAATGAAAGTCTGATGAGCGAGGTTGTCTTGCAACAGGCCAAGGCCAAAAAGGAGAGGTTGAAGAAGATGGAGAATTTGGCAAGTAGCTTCTTCTGTGGAGAGTAGAAAACAGAGAAGGAAAGCAGAAGGCCCAGTCAACCTGTGAGAGGTTGACCTGACGATGTCATCTTTCTGCTAAGTGAAAACAGCGGGTGCCCCTGAGGGTTCCTTCTCGAGGGTCTGTTGCTTTCACTGGTGGCAGCCACCAGGGACGACATCATCGAGCAACACGGGCACTCAAGTCGAGCAGTGGTCACCAAAGACCAGCAGCTGCCTCCATCAATAATGCCATGCAGCTCGTGAGAGCATGTGACAAAGGCAGCGCCGCACGTGTGATTTGCTTGTGCTTGAAACTGAGGGCGATCGCTTGCTTTGAGACCTCCATATACCCGCTGCCCATCTTCAGCCCATCCGACATAGCTTTTGTTGAAGTAATTATGCATACTGTAGTGTGGTTCAAGCGTTGGTTGTTGAAACTATCAACTTGACTTTGATTTGGTCTTTTTCGAACAGACTCTACAACACGAGCCATTTGAGTTGCACATGTCGACTAGTATCATTCTTTCCGAGCCCCAATCTGAAGCCTTCAAGACTGTCTTTGAGCACCACTTGGGAGTATCATCTTGGAGCATCACCTTGGAACATCACCTTGGAGCGAAGTCTTGGAGTATCCTTTTGGGGCGTCTTTCTGGGCATCCTTTGCAACTGCGTCTCGAATCATCCGCTTGGACGTACAAGTGCGAAGGTTGGTTGCTGAAATATCAAGTCGATTTCAGACCTACACGCATTTGTGTAAGAGGAATCGAACTGGGTCTTTTTAAGAGGACTCTGCTTTGAACATCTGACTGACCAGCTCTTGATAACTAGGTCATATGGTAGCTATTGCCGTTGTTTCGATCCTCCAGATGGCCTTTTGGCTGCTACCAATCAGACCCATCGTGAAGGTAGTATTAACAGACCATAAATTCGGACTTTCAATATCTTGTGCCACTTGGCATCGAAGAACTCTAGTTTCAACGATCCGTCTCGATTCGTGCAGCGAACACCACATCCTCGATCCCCAGAAGGTGTTTCATGGCTCATAGACACATTCTGTTCTGTGGTGATCGTTCCTGAGCAGCTTTACTGTGGCTAGATATGGGAAGGGAAGCCCGCGTTTTGGTATTGAAATATCGATTTATCGAGTTTAGACCGTTGGAATTGACGATGACATTCCATCGACAATGGAGGCTCCGGACACGTGGGTCAGTGGAAGGCGGCCGTAAGCGGCCCGTCCAATGAGACATCCGCCGTTATGCCCTATGAGGCCGCAAGTACGAACGGGTGGCGCAACAGGCTTTCTTGGCTTGTGGAATTGTCCACGCGAGACATGGAAGTGATGAAGCTGGTATCCATTCAATATGCCGAATTGATTGTTGCCAGAGGTTCTAGACTCGTCAAAACTGCGCAGACTCGCGAATGGCTTTCGCAGACTTCAGCATGCAACAATCTAAATTGTAGTCGAAAGGATGACCCGACCCGGTTGATTATGGAGACGGAGCTGCCGCATGATACTTGGCGACAGGGTTGGTATTCGGGTGAACGACCGATGCTGTGCAAACAATTGCAAGCGATCAAACTCAAAACAAGGACGTGGGTGTCAGACAGGAGGAACCCCTCCCAGGAGTCCCAACTCTCCAGGAGGCAGTGCCAGCCAGCCAGCCAGGGAGGGAGCTACCATGTTTGACGTTTTCTGACGAGTGTTCCGACTTGGTTCGCCTGGTCGGTCCTTTTGATTAGCAGGATTTGACAGAGCATCAAGCCTTCGTATCAGGGAATGGGAACGGCAATTACGGCGCGGTTGCGACGAACATGAGGCAAATCAAGGAAGGCGATGCGGTGGTGTGAAGCAGGCGGAAGTCGAAAGAAGCAACGACGGGAGGCAAAGCGGGGTGGCGTTGATGTGTCTTGGTCCAAGATCAGTGATCACCCAGGCGTTGAGAATGTGAGGTGAAGGGGAAGGCAATCCCGTGTTGGTTTCCAGGATGGATGTAAGACAAAATGGCGGGGTGAAATGCA